TATACCATGACCGACCAGTACCTTATACACCAGTACCCCACCAGTTAGTACAAGTAATGTATCAAACACTATTCCCAGAAGCATCATCTCCATTATTCACCAACTCCATCAAATATCGCTATTATCGTATCTTCTGGAACCTTTAGTGTATATTGTAGAGAGGAAGAAAAAGAGAGAGACAGATAGAGAGACAGAGGAGGAGACGAGAGGACAGACAGACAGACAGATTTAATATTACATGAAACAAAAATACTAGAAATGACGAGGCTTAGCGAATTTGGAAAAGCAATTGAGGACATTAAATGAAATAGCTAAGAAGTGTTATAAACACCGACGTTGCTAAATGACGTCAATATCCACTTGACACTGACCCTCGCTTCCCTGATTGAGGCCCATTAATAATCTTCCCCCAGGAATGCCACCCACACCAGCCCACTAAACACCCAGGTACCTATTTACTGCTAGATGAACAGTGGACGAGCAGGTGTTTATTGATCTACACCCAGGTACCTATTTACTGTTTTAAGAGTGTATCTTGAGTGGGTAGTATCCCTGGGAAAGAAGGAGCAGCAAGACCAGCATTGGAAATAAACCCTTTCCGTCTGCCTCAGCAGGCTTTATCAGTCCAAATAGAGAAATTCACTTTACATCGACATGACTGATTCACTATCAAACACACCATCAAACGTTGCACCTTGTCTCCAATATTGAAAGTCATGCTTCTCAGTCTGTTTAACTGGACGAAATGCCCAGAAAAAAAGGTGTATAAGGGGGGGGGGGGGGGGGGGGGTGGGGGGGGGGGGGGGGGGGGGGGAAAAAAAAGGGTCTAAAACAAAAGGATAAAATTTGTAATAATAAAAATAAATAAAAAATAAATGGTTTTTTTTTTTTTAATATTTAAGGCAGGTATGGATGGTTAGAGGGGGGGTTGTTAAATTAACCAAACAAGGGTTAATCGGTTCCACCAGTAATAGATCATATGTGAGGAGTGCAACTTGCTGGAACACTTCCCTAACACAGCTCCATAAAACCACAAGACTGTAAATTTTTAAATGAGGTTAAACCTAGAATTTATATTAGAGCAGCAGTGTTGAAGACTGGTTCTGGTTTAATTGGTAATGTGAAAAACCACAGTCACTAAACCATAGTAGCAACACTTCACAACATAATGGTACTGAAGATACTTAACTATCACCATTAAAAACAACAGCTGCTGGTGTTCCTACATATAACTCACTAAACCAGAATAAACAACACTGCGGTGGTTTCTGCAGTGTAAACTCACATACAAACACTCGGCATAACAACACTGGCTATAGGGTGTTCCTACAGTATAACTCACATAAACCAGTATAACAACACTGCTGGTGTTCCTACAGTATAACTCACATAAACCAGCATAACAACACTGCTGGTGTTCCTACAGTATAACTCACATAAACCAACATAACAACACTGCTGGTGTTCCAACCAGTATACTCACAAGTAAACCAGCATAACAACACGTGCGTGTTCCTACAGTATAACACACAAAAACCACATATGCGCACACTGCTGAGTGTTGCCTATCGGTAAAACTCACATAAACCAACCATAACCACACTGCTGGTGTTTCCTACAGAATAACTCACATAAAACCAACATAACACAATAGTGATTTCCTACAGTATAACACACATAAACCAGCATAACAACGACTGCTGGTAGTTTCGCTACCGAATAACTCACATAAACCAACATAACACTATACAGGGGTTCCAACAGAAAAATAACTCACATAAACCAGCATAACAACACTGCTGGTGTTCCTACAGTATAACTCACATAAACCAACATAACACTGCTGGTGTTCCTACAGTATAACTCACATAAACCAGCATAACAACACTGCTGGTGTTCCTACAGTATAACTCACATAAACCAGCATAACAACACTGCTGGTGTTCCTACAGTATAACTCACATAAACAACCAAACTGTCCACGTCCTCAGACTTACTGTCACAGTTTCTTTGTACATTAAATTCTATATTACGCGAACAATGATGTCATTTAAAATAAGGTCAAATTTTCTCTCAGTACAGAATTAGAGCTAATGGAGTTTGAGAGTTATTTATCAACAAGAGATGTTATACAACAATAGCAAAATACCTTTCTAGCTTAAGTTGCCTGGAGGCCTCAGTTGTGTATCAGCGTATCCTTGGAGGATCAAGAACCCTTCATTTAGAATAAGTCATACCCCCTGAGCATAAAGGACCAAAATGTCAAAAATAAACACAGTAAATGAATACCCTTAAGTGTATATATCATTGTGTAAAAACACTTGAAAAATATGGCTTATTAATACTTATTTGGGTGATGTGTAATGAAAATTGCTGGATGCAATAGTAAGGCACATATATTTTTTAATAAATATTATTCAAGAAGTGTGTAGTTTTGCAATGTATTTGGCACGAATGATTAAATTTACATAAAATCATGTGATCACTTTTATTACACCCACAAGCCATGAACGCATCTGACCGAGGCGAGACTTAGGTGAAATAGAGACTTAAAGACCTGCAGCCTGTGATGGGAGCTGCTAAGACCCCTAGTCTTATACCCAGAGTTGTCCTCAGAGCTTAGGAAAGTTTGGCCACTGTAGAATTTGAATTCAAATCTTTGTTTGTGCCTGAGGTCTCGTGATAAAGCAAATGAGAGGATTGTATTAAGGGCGGAGTGAAACTCGTCTGCATTTGCCAGCCAGGAAGGAAGATTCCCTTCCTCCGCTTCCCCTCCCTCCCTAATTTCCTGCTGATGTAGGTGGTGAAGGGGGTCCCCCCCCATCACTGATTGCAGATGTGATGCCCTTCTCTGCTGAGAGCATGATTTAGTTTTTCACGTTCTGGAGGTGGTGATAGGGGTGGCTCTTCATTGCCATGGTGATGCGATTCATGAAAGTGGTGGGAAGAGAGGGGTAAAGTTACTTAGTGCAATGAGTCGAGTCAATAAAAATGAATGCCTTTTGTGACATTGTCACATAGCCTTTGGTACTGTCATGAACCATAATATCCAGAATTTTTTGCCTACACAAAAAGTCGCTATTCTGACATGTCAATCTTAGCCCATTACAACCCTAGGTTAACCACTGTCTTTCAAAAGTAAATCCCAAGCCTGTAACGCCTGAGGAATTATTATCTTCGAATTGGCCTTGTGGCTAAAAGCACTCGTTCCACAGTGTCGATGTCCCAGGTTCGATTCCCAGTGAGGGTAGTAAAACATTATGTGTTTTCTCCTTACAACAGTTTGTTATCTACCCTATCAGAAAACGGGTACTGAATGTTAGTCCGAGCGACAGGTGCGGTTGCATCCTGTGACAAAACTTACCTAATTTGCTTCAAATGCCTCTGCATACAAGCAGCTTACTATATAGTCGGTCATGTCATTAATGTCAGCTATGGCCCATGATACCTTGTACATGTACTTGTAGAATAAATATATTATTATATTATTGTAATCAGAGAAGTACATAAATAGCCTATGGAGGTATACCTCACTTTATAGAACACCTCAGACTTCTGCTAGACCTCTCCATGCATATAGCTGGTTGACAATATAGTTCTGTCTCTGTCATTGCTGGTGTAGTGATTCTCTGAGCATTTTTACACCAGAACTCTATCCTCTATTAAGTTTAATTTGTCCAAGTCAGACCAAAATGTTGTCTTAAAGTTTCTTTCTCCTGTTGAGGGTTATTTGTGTTTGTTCCAGTTCACAGAAATGTGTCTTTTTGTTCTTTCAAGTGTTTCTCTTAAACTCTGTTAGATGACTGTTTTGTGTGTTGCTGGTGCACTGACAGTGATGCCTCACTGCTGTTGCTGGTGATGGGTGGTGACCACCACCACCATGACCAACACCACTCAACCAACACCAACCATCACCACCACCATCACCACCACCAACCACCACCACCATCACCACCACCACCACCACCATCAGCCACCACCATCATCACCACCCACCCATCCACCACCCACCGAACATCACCAAACCATCATCACCACCACCATCACCACCACCTTCATCACCACCACCATCACCAACACCACCACCCACCATCATCATCCACCACCATCATCACCACCACCACAACACCACCCATCATCACCACCACCATCATCACCACCATCATCACCACCACCATCAACACCAACCATCCTCAACCCACCACCAACATCACCACCACCATCATCACCACCACCACTCATCACCACCACCATCATCACCACCACCATCATCCCCACCACCATCATCACCACCACCATCACGCACCACCAGCATCACCACCACCCATCATCACCACCCCCATTCATCACCACCACCATCATCACCACCACAAATCATCACCACCACCATCACCGACCACCACCATCACCACCACCATCATCACCACCAACACCACCACCAGACCAACCATCGACCATCACCATACAGCACTTACCATCACCGGTCACCATCACCACCACCACCTACCACCACACCACGCACCACCACCACCAACCACCACCACCACCACCATCAGCTGGTTTCGCTGGGTGTCCAGGTTAAAGCTTTTCCCCAATATTCCTCAGATAGACCCCTCCACAGATGGGCGTAGAAACGAGCTGAGGTCACCCTCATGCCGAGCTAGGCTGTCACAATCCTCCTACCAGAATGACATTCTACAGTTGCCCTTTAACTTATATATATTAGATCAATAGGAGATTATGTGTGTGTGGTGTTGTGTGTATGTATATAAATACATAAAAGCGATATAGTCTTTTTTTTTATGTGACAGGTGTGTGGCGGAGGGATGGTGGGGAGTTATAGTGGGAGAACTATGGGGAGGGGCAAGGATTGGGAGTCTGCGGTTGAGGTCTTCAGTACGATAGTCTTCATTCGGGAGGTATGAGAGCTGCTGGGAACATGTGACTATCAGCTCAGCTCGGCATCTCTCGAGGGAGGAATCTCCGTGACTGGTCTGAAGCCTGCTAGGAGGACCAGTGAGAGGTCACCCAGCACGAGCTGGGGCAGCAAGTACCAGCCATGACTACCATGCTACTGACGGAGGAAGTACCCAGACAGTGGCTACCCATCCCTCACTGCAAGTGCCCAGCACCACTGGCTCCCTACCCAGGTCAGTACCTCTGTATTCTCTAACTCTATCTTTCTCCCTGGGTCTATCTCCTACGTCATACCTATGTTGGGATAATAGTCACAATATTACAGTCACATAATGGGTCCAGGGACTGAGCCCATATGTAGGGACCAATATACAGTGTGAAAATTTGTGCAATGGCTCTTGAACTGCAATACGAATTAACTATTTATTGTACACGATTGACGGAAACTTCGTGTGTTGCCTGGTACACTCACTACCTCATACACACACTTCATGTGTTGCCTGGTACACTCACTACCTCATACACACACTCCATGTGTTGCCTGGTAAACTCAGCTACCTCATACAACACACTCCATGTGTTTGCCTGGTACATCCGCGCTACCGTCAAAGCACACACTCCATGTGTTGCCTGGTACCTCGCACCATCATACACCACCCTCCATGTGTTTCCTGTACACTCGCTACCTAATCCACAAACACCATGTGTTGCCCTGGTACACTCACATACCGCATCACACACTCATGGTTTTGTTTCTGTACACTCACTTACCTCATCCACACACTTCATTGTGTTGTCTGGTTACTCACTACCTCATACACACACTGCCATGTGAGTATTGCCTGGTACACTCACAACCTCATACACACATCTCATGTGTTGCCTGGTCCACTCGCAACCGTCACACACTCCAGTGTTTTTAGGCCTGGTGAACACTCCTACCCTGTTGGGTCACACACTCCATAGTGTTTGCCTGGTACACTGCGTTACCGGGGTTCACACACACCATGAGTTGCCTGGTACACTCACAACCTCACACACTCCTGTGTTGCCTGGTACACTCGTTTACCTCACACCTCCATGTGTTGCCCTGGTGCACTCGAAACCTCACACACTCCATTTGTTGCCCTGGTAACACTCACTACTCCATACACACACTCCCATGTGTGTTTGCCTTGTACACTCGTTTACCTAAAACACACTCCATGTGTTGCCTGGTACACTCGTTACCAGGGGCACACATCTTCCATGTGTTCCTGGTTACACTCACTGCCCTCACACACTCCATGTGTTGCCTTGTACACTCGTTACCTCACACACTCCATGATTTGTGCCTGGTACACTCGCTACCTTCCATACAGCACACTCCAAGTGTTGCCTGGTACACTCACCCCTCATACACACACTCATGTGTTGCCTGGTACACTCGCTGACCTCACACACTCCATGTGTATGCCTGGTACACCTCGATACCTTCACACACTCCATGTGTTCCTGGTAACACTCGTTACCTTCACACACTCCATGTGTTTATGCCTGGTACACTGCGTTATCCTCACACACACCATGTGTTCCTGGTACTCTCGTTATCCCTCACACACCTCCATGTGTTGGCCTGGTACACTCACTACCGTCCCACACTCCAATGTGTTGTCCTGGTACAGCAGCTCGTTACCCCCTCACACACTCCATGTGTTGCCTGGTACACTCGTTACCCGTCACACACTCCATGTGTTTGGCTGGTACACTCACTAAACCTCACAAACTCTCATGTGTTGCCAGGAACACTCGTTTACCTCACACACTCCCTAGTGTTTGCCTGGTACCCTCGCTACCTCACACACTCAGTGTTGCCTGTAACACTCACTACCCTCATACACACACTCCATTGTTGCCTGTACACTCGCTACCGTCACCCCCCCACACTCCCATGTGTTGCCTGGTACACTCGTTACCCTCACACACTCCATGTGTTGCCTGGTACACTCGCTACCTGGTCACACACTCCATGGTTGCCTGGTACACTCGCTACCTCACACACTCCATGTGTGTGCCTGGTACACTCATCTACCTCATCCACAACTCCATGTGTTGCCTGGTACACTCACTACCTCATACACACACTCCATGTTTTGTCTGGTAACACTCACTACTTCATAAACACACTTCCTGTGGTTGCCTGGTACACTCACTAACCTCATACACACACCCATTTGTTGTCTGGTATACAACCACCTACCTTCATACACAACTTCATGTGTTTGCCTGGTACACTCACTACACTCAAACACACACTCCATGTGTTGTCTGGTACACTCACTACTTTCAAACACACACTCCGCGAGTGTTGTCTGGTAACACTCACTACCTCATACAAACACTTCAAGTGTTGCCTGTTACACGTCACAACCTCATACACACACTCCATGTGTTGCCTTGTACACTCAGCTACCTCCATCTACACAACTCCCAAGTTTTTGTCTGGTACACTCACTACCTCATACACACACTCCATGTGTTGCCTGGTACCCTCACTACCTCATACACACACTCGCATGTGTTGCCTGGTACACTCACTACCTCATACACACACTCCATGTGTATCCTGTGGTACACTCACTACCTCATACACACACTCATGTGTAGCCTGTTACACTCACTACCTCATACACAACTCCATGGTTTTTGTCTGGTACACTCACTCCCTCATACACACACACCATGTGTTCCTGTAGCGACTCACTACCTCAAACACACCTCCATGTGTTGCCTGGTACACTCACTACCTCATACACACACTCCATGTGTTGCCTGGTATACACTCCTACCTCATACACAACCTCCATGATTTATGTCTGGTACACTCACTACCTCATACACACACTTCAAGTGTTGCCTGGTACACTCACTAACCTTATACACACACCCATGTGTTATGACGGGTACCTCACTACCTCAAAACACACACTCCAGTGTGTTGCCTGGTACACTCACTACATCATACCACCTCCATGTTTGTCTGGTACCCACACTACCTCATACACACACTCCATGTGTTGTCTGGTACACTCACTACCTCATACACACACTCCATGTGTTGTCTGGTACACTCACTACCTCATACACACACTCCATGTGTTGTCTGGTACACTCACTACCTCATACACACACTCCATGTGTTGCCTGGTACACTCACTACCTCACACACTCCATGTGTTGCCTGGTACACTCACTACCTCATACACTCCATGTGTTGTCTGGTACACTCACTACCTCATACACACACTCCATGTGTTGCCTGGTACACTCACTACCTCATACACACACTCCATGTGTTGCCTGGTACACTCACTACCTCACACACTCCATGTTTTGTCTGGTAGTTTACCTGGAGAGAGTTTCGGGGGTCAACGCCCCCGCGGCCCGGTCTGTGACCAGGCCTCCTGGTGGATCAGCGCCTGATCAACCAGGCTGTTGCTTGCTGGCTTGCACGCAAACCAACGTACGAGCCACAGCCCGGCTGATCAGGAACTGCCTTTAGGTGCTTGTCCAGTGCCAGCTTGAAGACTGCCAGGGGTCTGTTGGTAATCCCCCTTATGTGTGCTGGGAGGCAGTTGAACAGTCTCGGTCCCCTGACACTTATTGTATGGTCTCTTAACGTGCTAGTGACACCCCTGCTTTTCATTGGGGACGGTGCATCGTCTGCCAAGTCTTTTGCTTTCGTAGTGGGTGATTTTCGTGTGCAAGTTCGGTACTAGTCCCTCTAGGATTTTCCAGGTGTATATAATCATTGTATCTCTCCTCCTGCGTTCCAGGGAATACAGGTTTAGAAACCTCAAGCGCTCCCAGTAATTGAGGTGTTTTATCTCCGTTATGCGCCGCCGGTGAAAGTTCTCTGTACATTTTCTAGGTCGGGAATTTCACCTGCCTTGAAAGGTGCTGTTAGAGTGCAGCAATATTCCAGCCTAGATAGAACAAGTGACCTGAAGAGTGTCATCATGGGCTTGGCCTCCCTAGTTTTGAAGGTTCTCATTATCCATCCTGTCATTTTTCTAGCAGATGCGATTGATACAATGTTATGGTCCTTGAAGGTGGAGATCCTCCGACATAATCACTCCCAGGTCTTTGACGTTGGTGTTTCGCTCTATTTTGTGGCCAGAATTGTTTTGTACTCTGATGAAGATTTAATTTCTCATGTTTACCATATCTGAGTAATTGAAATTTCTCATCGTTGAACTTCATATTGTTTCTCGCAGCCCACTGAAAGATTTGGTTGATGTCTGCCTGGAGCCTTGCAGTGTCTGCAATGGAAGACACTGTCATGCAGATTCGGGTGTCCATCTGCAAAGGAAGACACGGTGCTGTGGCTGACATCCTTGTCTATGTCGGATATGAGGATGAGGAACAAGATGGGAGCTAGTACTGTGCCTTGTGGAACAGAGCTTTTCACCGTAGCTGCCTCGGACTTTACTCTGTTGACGACTACTCTCTGTGTTCTGTTAGTGAGGAAATTATAGATCCATCGACCAACTTTTTCCTCTGTTATTCCTTTAGCGCGCATTTGTGCGCTATTACGCCATGGTCACACTTGTCGAAGGCTTTTGCAAAGTCTGTATATATTACATCTGCATTCTTTTGTCTTCTAGTGCATTTAGGACCTTGTCGTAGTGATCCAGTAGTTGAGACAGACAGGAGCGACCTGTTCTAAACCCATGTTGCCCTGGGTTGTGTAACTGATGGGTTTCTAGATGGGTGGTGATCTTGCTTCTTAGGACCCTTTCAAAGATTTTTATGATATTGGGATGTTAGTGCTATTGGTCTGTAGTTCTTTGCTGTTGCTTTACTGCCCCCTTGTGGAGTGGGGCTATGTCTGTTGTTTTTAGTAACTGAGGGACGACCCCGTGTCCATGCTCCCTCTCCATAGGATGGAAAAGGCTCGTGATAGGGGCTTCTTGCTTTCTTGATGAACGCAGAGTTCCATGAGTCTGGCCCTGGGGCAGAGTGCATGGGCATGTCATTTATCGCCTGTTCGAAGTCATTTGGCGTCAGGATAACATCGGATAGGCTTGTGTTAATCAAATTTTGTGGCTCTCTCATAAAAATTCATTTTGATCTTCGACTCTCAGTCTGGTTAGCGGCTTGCTAAAAACTGAGTCATATTGGGACTTGAGTAGCTCACTCATTTCCTTGCTGTCATCTGTGTAGGACCCATCTTGTTTAAGTAGGGGCCCAA